ACCAGTGCCGTCTTTGACCTATTGGAGGTCCTGGGCATATTCTGATAATGGGGGTATGACCCCCGTTTGGTGATGTAACAGGAACAAGGTGGGCCCCCATCGATAACGGGGCCCTAGGCACTTGCCCAAAGTGCCCACTAGGAAAGAGGGGTCTGATTACTACGGTTTTGACCCATACTACGGTTTCAGTTTTTGAAGTGAAAACTTCTTTAGCGGCGTTGTACACTTTTTTTGTAATAAGTAAAAAATGTTAAACTCGCGTCAGGACATCGTGGCCTGATCGAAAATTCGTAAGACGAAAACAATAAATTTGGAAAGGTTGACTTTCAATATATTGGACGAGACATAGTAATATTTTATTTTATCAGCGTGGCAGCTTTATTGCGAAGAAAATGCATTTTTTTACAATAGATGTCGCTAGGTGCGCTTAATTCATGTAAGTTGATTTTTCTGAGAGATAAACTTTTTGATGAAATGTAAATTGTCATGATTGTGTAAATATTTGCGCAATAAATAAATATTGTATTCTACCACATAAATGATATAACTTTTATACTGATAATTAAAGCAATTCTTGCCAAATTATTCCCTAACCATTCCAAATTATCAAAAATGCACAACGTTAATATTCAAGTTTTCACTTCTGCCGGCACTCCCGGAGTGCAACCCGTCGTTTTTTTCCTTTAGGCGGTTCACCCACTGCAGGCGCTACGTCGCGTAGCGCGTGATCGCAGATTTAACGTTGCATGCAAGTATCTCAAATTCTGCCAATCGGCGCGTAGATCCGGGGTATATCGATCGTGGGTTTATGATCGAGAATTATAGAACCCTCATATTGTAAACATTAAAAATATGTATATTTCACAAATAGTATGTATGTATGTATATATGGGTAAAGGAAAATATATATTAGGTTTTTAATGTACACCTATATTTTCCCCTGAGAACAGAACAGATAAGGTCTATATTATTATAATTTTGGAGTTTTTTTTTGTTTCACTATGTTAGCAACTGTCAGCATCTCATATTTTCTTTTGTAATCACGTTTTAAAACCTTATTGTAATCTGTGGATAGTCGTAATTGGCTTTCAAATTATATATCATTGATTGTAATTCCAATATACATATAAGCTGTGTACTGTCCCTTAAATAAATAAATAAATAAAAATAAATAAATAGCGACGCAGTCCCGTGCGCGTTTTCAAATCGATTCACCCACTGGCAACGCGTCCCGTCGCGTAGCGTAGATCATGTGCGTAGTGGCAAATCACGCACTGCGCGCTATGCGACGTAGCGCGCTGCAGTGGGTGAATCGTCTTTCTTGTGTTACCTAACATGCTTTTTGTCAGAATTTTTTACAATTACCCCATAGGTTTTCATTATCTTGTGACGCTACGGTCACACTGCCGCGCTATCAGAAAATATTCCAGTTCCATGTTAACTCGAGCCAAACAATAGTGACATTTCAGAACACGGTCAGAAATGTGACTATTATGATTGGTTTAACCGTCATGAAAACGGCAAATTTTCGCGTTATCGCGATAGTGTGGCCGTAGCATTAGTGTCAAAATATGTGGCATTTGATTGCGTAGTTTTAAAAGTTAGACTTTTTTCACTATTTTAAGGCATGGTAAGCTTTCGTAGAAAGTGCCTGATATGAATATCAACTTGACAGATTTCAGAGACTGACAACAAATGAATCATTGAGGGTTTCTTATTTTCTTTTTAGTTACGGAACCGTTGTACTGTGGTGGTATGAAAATTCCAAACGTTCTCAAATAGATAGGCTTACTCTCAGCCGAACGAACTTTCGGTGACGAACTTCAAACGAAATTTCATTTCGTCAATTTGAGTTTATAGTTACTTAATTTGAACAATAAACTATCATATCCAATTTTTCATTGAGTAGGCTTTAAGAATGTAAACCTCAATCTATTATCGAGTGAACGTATAACACACACAGACCCGTCTTTCCCAGTGGGCACTTTGGCCAAGTGCCCAGGGCCCCGCGCTCGATAGGGGGCCCCCTCAGATCAAATACAAAGCCATAGGGGCCCCATTATCCTAATATGCCCAGAGCCTCAAATAGGTCAAAGACGGCATTGAACACACATATTACCCCTTGATAACACGCAAGAAGAGGAAGAGGCCCTAAGTGATCATACTACCGCTATGTAACTTCTTTGAATATTCAATTCAAAGCGAAGACGCACTGCAAAAGTTAAATTATGTTGAATATCCAATGCCTCAAAATATTTTTGTCAAACTAAACTAAGTGATTATTTTAAATTACTTAATAATAATACACTGTTTTATTTATAACGTACAGAGTTCTTAGATAATGTACATTTAATACCTCAATACTTACATTCGAAATAATAATAGAATGTAATAAATATTAATATGTACTACGTTTTTTCCCCTATCCCGCATAATACACTTTCCCGCCGAAGACGCGTTTTTGGTTGAGTCCCAGTGAAATCGTCTTCTAAAGGTTTTTACTGTATTTAGTTTTTTACAAGATTGAAACAAAGGATACTTTTTATTCGGTAAATGTTAGGTTCCTATAGAATTCTCGAAAAACTAACTTACTGACGCAGTCGCAGGCCTACGCCCGTAGGTAGTACTCATAAATTTCAAAGAAACCTTGAAGAATAATACCCTTCAAAAAAATTCAATTACCTCTAAAATAAAAGGTTACTTGTACATCGATCATTTTCGCTTAAATTTCTTTCTATTTGTTTCCCGAAATGGTTACCATAGATTACGCAACAACCCGTTTAAACGAAACCAAGCGAAAATTTAAAAGGTGGCTGGTAATTAACAGCTACGCTTACCTAAACCAATTGCTATTCAATTAAAAACTGAAAAGATTTCTCCTTGGTATTTCCAATAGTGATATTTGCCTTTTAATTAATTTCCCATTCCCACTTTAGAAGGAGCTTTTACGATCACGTAAGTTCAAGAGACATACACTTACATACAACTTGAGGTTGTTACAGGACCACGGCTGCCAACATTAAATGCTGAAAGGTACATTCGTGAGTGCTTAGAACCTCACGTGATACCATACGCGGACTATGTGGGCCCAAATTTCCTTTTTATGCATGATAATGCAAGAGCCCATGCGGCCGGCATCGTCAGGGAATATCTTCGGGATGTGAACATCACAGTTATGGACTGGCCAGCCAGAAGCCCAGACATGAACCCCATTGAGCACATGTGGGACGAGCTAAAAAGACGTGTTAGGGCTCGTCAGCCAGTTGCCCAGACGATGCAGGAGTTGAAAACTGCCATAGAAGAGGAACGGGAGATGATCCCTCAAAATTTCATAGGGCGGTTGATAAACTCTATGCCTAATCGTATGAGAGCTGTGGCAGATGCCCATGGAGGCAACACGCGTTATTAAATTAAACCTTTATTTGATAAACATGTTTTTTATTCAAAAATCAATTGCCTTTAACAAGGCGCATATCCGACTTGTTAGGCGTAGCTCCATGTCGTATGGTATTCTGAATTCAAATTTAAAACACTACGATCGAAAAAGATGGTAAAATGTATCAGGTTTAAAACTGCATCAACAGTTTTTGTTCAATCTAGCAATCATATTTCGGTAGGGGCCATCGAAACCTAAACTCTAAGGTGGGCCAATAGATGTGTCCAGAAGTGTAGTTGATTTGCCTCTCGAATTAAAGCGCCTGCCTGGGGATGCAAGCTCCACCTTATTGAAGACCACAGTAAAATTATAATACTATTTGGTGGTGTTCTGTTTCTGCTGGTGATTCCAGGTTCCCGGGCTCCATGGGGTAGAGATTGGGTTCAGGCTGGCAAAATGAGGATGGCTGGAGCAGCACACTTGTGGGGTGGGGTAAATTGTTGTCACCCCCATGAAAAATAAAGTGATACGTATTACGTACGAAATTATGATACCATTTATCTTTGTATTTTGCGGTCTTCAGTTAAGCTAGTGTTAAGTTACAACTTGGATAGAAATTGCAGTTGGAAATTGCAAGTGGCCCTTTTTTAACAATTTTTTATATAAAGTGGTTATAGAGAAGAATTTCTCGACACTATGAATCTCAGGGGAAAGAATATTTAGCCACTTTGTGCGACATGAAGAATTTATGAAAAAACAGCATTGAGGCAAAATAAGAAGGAAAGACAGGAGAAGGAAGATCAAAAATAGAAATACCAAACAAACTAAAAAGATTTGAAGAAGGCTTCGATTTTTTCAAAGGGAAGATCAAGAAAGGTAGTAAGAAATGGCGGAATATTCATGAACTGGATCTAAAATTCAAGAATATATTGTGATATTAAACCATTAAGACACATCGTTGTTTGTCTCCAATTAACAGAAATTGACAAATAAAAATAAAAAAGTATTATACCTATTAATGAAAAATTATGATCCTGAGAGGCTCGATTTATTGGAGAATTTGGTCTTTTGGTAATTTTCTTAAGCGATTTCTTAATCTTAAGCGATACAATCGTAATTGCGATAACTACATAAATAAATTCTTTTCTTAGGTTTATGTTATGGAAAACCATACCTATATAACCTACGAAAAGTTATAATTGTAAGTTGGTCCTATTTCTATAGTAAATATTAGAAATAACCAGTGTGTTATATACAATTTTATTTTTTATAGGATGTCTGCATTTTACGGGAAAAAAATCATAATTACAATTTTATTTATCATCTGATTTTCTGAAACGTCAATAAATAAATAAAGTTTCGTGCATTAACCTGTAAAAAACTAGTTTTATTCAATGAGTGATACGAGTGAAAACCTAAGAAACAAATAACTGATTTTCTGATTCTGATTGGTCCATGCTGTACGATTGTTCAAAAATTATTAAATTTTGCTTTCGCTCCACCTAGCGGCAAGTAGTAAAACTACGTTGTTAGTATGTTGGCACAAATAAGCATCTGAATGAAGCATGTTTACTGCTTTAGCTGCACTTGCATTAATTAATATTTACAGTTACATAGCAATAGCGGGCAATCGGAATCCAACATGACTTTCTTTATCTAATAAGCAAACGAAGTGCATTTATTTATAGTTAAATTAATTATTAAGATTATTCCATACCGTGATGAACATTCGCCGCGACAACTGTGTTGTGAAACTAGTGGTCTATTACTCGGTTATCCATGCTTTTGGTGTTATGTTTTTGGGACTACAATTTGACATTTCCTCATAACCTCAAACTGTAATAGTAAATAAATAAGTTCAAAGGTAAGTTAAATAAATGTAGAGTTTAATGTTTTGTAATATAAGTTGCTGTTATTTTAATTAAGTAATCTATTATTCGCAAGTACTGTGATGTTGCAGTTACATTATTTTGTCAATACACTAAAGAAGCAAAATTGTTATCACCGAGTTGTTGACATTTTTATCAGTGCAGCTGTATTTGAGGTATAATAGGTACATATATTTTTCCACAACATTATTAGATCGTAGGTCAGTAAGGTTCGTGGAACATCTACATACTTAATGATAGGGATGCTCCAAAAATGTATATTAATAAGAAAAATAGACTTTGTTCAAGTTTTGCGGCCGTAACTATTAAAAGACGTTATTAATTTCTAAGTTTGATGAATGTTGATGTTAATACTATCTGTGCGATATCAATAGTAGAAAGATAACACCTCACTAACAAGTACAAAATTTTATTGATGTCTCTAATCGCGGTGCATAGATTTGGGGTATACTAAAAATTATTTTAGGTCAGAAGAACTCCCAGTGGAGTTGCAACTTTTTGTATTTACCACTTAGATTATATAGAGTAGGAAAGTAAGGTATAAAGTAAAGGTTTTATCTGGGATTTTCCATTTCTATTAAGATAATGTAATAGTGTTTGGTCTTACCTTCCAATGTGCTCAAGCCGACGAACATTTGAAACACATAATACGAGACAAAGTAGACAATTTATAAAACTTAACACACCTGTTATTGGTACCTGAGCTACATATCTAAATGCTCATTAACGTAAAGGATACCTGGTACCACTTTACACTAATGACTTTTAAAACGGACTCACCTAAAACGTTATCGCATCAAGCAAATGGAACTGTTTGTGTGACTCAACTTAACCGGCGAAAGTGGCTTCTTTTTTTTCACACTAGATGCCAGGCGTCGGAACTTAGGCATATCCGTTACCACGCACAGCACACGAAGTATATTCCCTTGTAAATATCACTAATACATCCTCAACACTGCATCCGAGACACCAAGGCTTAAAAATGTAGAGCTCTCGTTTATCGAGATCGTTTTCGTAACTGGCGCAAGCGCATCGTTCGTAGCCGACGACGTGCGTCGATTGTTCAGTGCTCCCTTGTTGGATTGGGTGGGCACTGCCAAGCCCACGCAAGGATGCCGGCAATTACGAGCAACGTGATTCCAGACACAGAGAACATACGCGTTCTATGAATTTTAAAATTTGTATTATCAAGAGAACACGTCTAAAAGCGTACATGAGCTAGAAGTAAACTCTTAGCATTGACTAGACTGCGCTTGGATTATCCAGGATGCCGGCCATTAGGCAAAGAGCGTCCATTATCGTATTGTCGTGGGCTTATCGTAGTGCTAGTGTCTCCTTAAATTGCCCACTGGGAAAAATAATAAAAGTACGTCACCAAGTAAAAATTACGGACACTGAAGTGTTTTGGAAAATTGTTTACAATGTAATTCTTTATCCAAGAAACTCTTTTTCAGAGAATAAGAAATATAAAGAATATTGTGTGAAGTACATTGGGGTAACTATCTCTATTTTCTAGATATAAAATTATTTTACTTGTTTTGCAGTCACAGAAATGTTCATGTATTATAAGTTTATTTATTTTGAGGAATTACAGCAATAAGAGGCCTGAGCAAAGGGAATGTTCAAGTCACGGGACCGGATCTAGGGTTACTCACGCTCGTTAGTTCAATTGAGCGGTTAAGTACAATCGAAGCTCTAAAGCCAGCCGCTTCCGTTCAACTGTTTCACACAGGAATCAATATTCTATACAGCAGCTTACAATTAAAGTAGGGTCCTTTTTATCATGTCATTTATTATAACAAGTAAGTAGGTCATTTATATATTATATAGAAATAATTGGTCTTTTATTAAAGTAAGTTTTGTCGCGGCTGCATTTGTTTTATGAAAACAGAGTTGCATATCAGAAAGATAACACACTGTTTTCCAAACACCTTGCTAGAATCTGGTTCAATCCGGTAACTGTAATATATTATGATGTATGATAGTTGATCTACATTTCAAAATGCGTCCCGGCTTTGTGATTCTTGTACTCGATTCGTCGTCTGGGTTCTTAAGGTCAAACCCGCTCAAGGATGCTTGCAATAAGTTAGTAAGGTCAACGAATTGGTCATTTGTCATGTTTTCTGACATGCATGTAACCGTACATTTTCTAACTAAAACACTTCTTGACAATGTAATAATACTAAGTAAATGGCTTTTTTTACATCCTCAGTAATTTTAATATCATTATCTCATGTCTTAGTCGTTTCTATTTCTTTCATTCATAATTCATTGAAATGAATTCATTTCCTTAGGCAGGGACCGGTAATCCTTAGGCCTTAAAATCCATATCTAAAGTAATATCTTCTATTGCAGCCATTGTAGTAGAAAATGTAACGGTACGAAGAAATGTGAGGCGTGGTGCGCTCACACTACCGTTCTAGCCAATCAAAGTTACGCACCATTTAGCCTTATCATCTAACTGAGTTCTGTACAACACAAAAAACATACAATCAACTATTAAATTAGGTAACGTATTTGAAAAATATGCAATGGGAATTGTGCGCATTCCCATTGCATATTTTTCAAATACGTTTTCAAATACATCATTACGTAATCTTTTTTCCTCATCTTTTTTTTCCGATTCTGTTAGATCAATTAGGACTTTGACGTAAGTTACATCAGAGATTTATAGAAAAATAAAAGATTTTTCTAAACTTTATATATTCTTCTTTTTTATTATTATTTGCTTAGTTTTTTCGATAAATCCAGTTACAACCTTACATGTAAAAATGTGTACATTTACTAACATCCTGTTTTATGGATTATGGATCAAATGTTCCAGAAATGCCATAACACAATATGAAAAATTTTTACTATTAACATAGGTACTCAAAAGGTTTAGTAATCAGTTAACGATAATGTCAAGTCTACAGTTTATATAATAAAAAGGGACTGTGTTTTTCCTTTTAAAATGAATGTAAAATGTTTAACGATGTTTATTGATGCAATCAATCCCAATTAAACTAGGAAACCTCAGTAAATATCTAGTTTTCCTCAACACAAAAATATAAGCATTCATCCTGTCACGTTTGCAGAAACCTGCGTCTTACACAACCCAAATTAAGTAAGCACCATCTTTAATTAAATGCGAGTCTAGAAATTTTCATAGTCATCATTCTAGTTCAAACACTCCAACGATTATGGTAGGTATATCTCATGTATGCATTTAGAACTCCTAGTATATTCCAGCTAATTCCAAAACAATTCAATGTCTCAAATAATTGTAAATATTGAAAGACGATCGACGCTTACATACAAAGGTTTAGTTAAAGAGCAATATTACTTCTTACTTATAAAATAATAATTCAATGCTTATTCTATTGAATAAGAAACGAATTAGTTATTGGTTAGCGTGTCTGGCCGGATTGTGAAAGGTGATTCGAATCGACTCCTGTCTGAGGCCTGGACCACATATAATTTATTCTAGCAAATTTTTCTTTATGATGAAAATATAATTAAAGACTTTTTAAGATATGATATTTCAAATAACAAATTCAACCAGTGTTGGAGAAAATGATATTTGACGTGCCCAATTGATGAATGATATATGTACTTACCTACGTTAATAGGACACGAAACAAAGCTGATGTGCGATAAGCAAAATATATTAATACTATATTACTATTAGTAAAAAATACACTTATTAAGATCTCCTTTTGGTGTTGGGAATGAACTACAAAATTTATAAAGAAAAGTTTACTAGAAAAAAAACCCGTCCGCTGCCTGGTCCGCGTGGATTTTTTTCTAGTAAACTTTTCTTTAGATTTAAACATCTAGCAGTTAAATGCTTAAAAAATAAATAAAATCATAACTACAAAATTTATTTTTATGTCAAAATGGTCAAAACTCCAGTGATAAGTTCAAATTACATTTCCCTGCAAAAATACGTGTGACGAATTAATCTATTTATATCACAAATTATATTTAATTATAAATTATGATCATTTTTATCTGTAACAGACGAGCTATTTTGTCTCAGTGGAGATACAAATTGATAACCAAGTTATGCGTAACAAAGTAACATAGTAAACTTGTAACCTTGTCAAACAACAGGTGACCGATAACTTCAATGTTATTGTTAAGTATTATTATCGAGGCGTATTTCATTCAAATGTTACAAAGGTCACCATAATCGTTAAACACAAAACACGACACTGTGTACCTACACGATAGTGAAAAAAAGCAATGCCGATTAATAAATAATCCAAAACGGCCCGCGTAATTGGAAAACACATTATGAGGAGATTAAGTTAATATTATTCTGATGGATGACAGTTTATTCACTTTTGTTTATTTTAGCAGTTACCATTTTATAAAAGTATCTCTAAATAGTAAAAATAGCAAATAGTCCAAAGATCAAAGTTCTAAGTAAGGTTCGGCCTTTGTTTTAATTCATGAATTTTTATTTTTAGTGTAATTTATTTTGAATCTATTGTGTGTTTTTATTTATCATCACAAATAGCTTTGTTTGAAGATTTCTATAATTTAATCAGTGTATCCTAATTTATGAGTTAAAATGAAGGGTTATTTAGTCGTATTATTTTAATTTAGAAGTTTTTTAACTATTTTGGATAGATTTGTATCTTTGGAAAGTAATGCAAAATTTCGAACGTCCCCTCATACCTTCGATAGCTCAGTTGGTAGAGCGGTGGACTGTAGAGGGTTTATCACGGTTATCCATAGGTCGCTGGTTCAAATCCGGCTCGAAGGAATTCTTTTGTATTTTTTATTTTAAAATATTCTTAGCAAATAAAAAGTTAAAAGTAATGTGATAGTAGTAATTGTTTTTATCTTGACTTCACTATTTACATTATAATAAATATGTAACTAGCTTTTACATATTTGTTTATTGTGATAATTAATTCTTTTTTAACAAAAACTTACTAATGAAAATCCTTCTTGTGATTTGACAATTCATATTTTGAAAATTTTATTATTGACAACATAGAATTAACGTAAACGTGTAACAGTTGCTATTTTTAGATGAATTAAAAAATGCGTTATTTTAGGATTTACTTTGTATTTATCTACCGAAAGTTCTTTAACAAGTCGAAAATTAAAAAAAAAAGTTAAAAGAAAATATGCAAAAATCTAAAAAACAACTGTTTCCGCCCGGGATCGAACCGGGGACCTTGTGCGTGTGAAGCACACGTGATAACCGCTACACTACGGAAACTTGTTAAGTGTTGGCGAAAATAAGAAATATAAACCTCTTGTTCTGTAATCTGAAATACAAACTTATTCAGCTAAAAACATTTTCTTAAAAATATTACAAACCTTTTTAAATGATGCACTTGCAAGCAGAAAAAAATACAGATAAAAAAGGCGCGAAGAAACAAAAGAACCCGATGAAAACGAAACGCGCGCGCCCTCTGGTGTCGGCGCGGTGGAAACGGTGGCTGTACAAGCACCCGTCAACTTTTATACCATCACAAATTGTGCGATCCCATTGACCACCCGCTGAATGCGAGCTCATTACTTTCGTTCTATCATTGTATGGGAGTGGTTTATGTGGCGCAAATTTGTAATCGCGTTCGCACCCCTTTTCATCGCGACATTTCGACCAGGCACCACGAAACTGCTGACGCAAAATCGTACGACGTTATCGTTTGTTTAGAGAATAAGTCGCAATAAATATGAGAGCTTTGAATACCGACGCGTACAAATTGGGCAATGTATTGTGTGTCGGTATTTTTTTCGTAAGGATTAGCTATTAAGGAGAAAATAGACATCAAGACGACGATGACACAGTGATTAGAAGCAAGAAAATATATTCTCATTTAGACGCCATTCACAATCTGAGCTTAAAATGCGTATTATAGGTTGATATATTTCCAAATTAACGTTATATTTTTCATCATTCGATTTTATTTTACCTAATGAAAATGAGGTACCTACTATTAGACGTCAACCAAATTTAAAAAATATTCCGCTCAAAAAATTACCCATGCTTTTTCCCTCTTCTCCCTACACTTTTCCCCACACAGAAAAAGTATCCGTAGCCCTCTAAACTGGGACAAATCCGGGGAAATCAGGAGGGATGGAAGCCCTAAATATAGAAGTATTATACATAATTACTATCCGTATCACTAGAAACATTCTTATTAAATTTTAGATGATGTGATTTGATAATAATGAAAAATGCTCCACTTTATTAATCCAGATAATAGGTATTTACAATTTTACCAGGCTTTACACTGAGGCTTATTTATATAATTTAACCCTAAAGTTGAACCAAGTTTTCGCTTATTCCAAAAAATCGAATGAGATTATTTATTACTCGCATATTTTGAACTTTCAAAATTTAAACAATAATTCCAAGTTTATCTAGAAGGTAATCTACTTGTCGTGTCAATGTCAGTATTAAATTTGGTTGGTATTAAGGACTGAGGGGCGCCTAATACAAGTTCTTTGCCACATCATAGAACAAAGTAATCTAGCAAAATTAAACGCAAGTGGCTTTAATTGCGAAATTGACACCGATGATATTATTCGAATCGACTGCCCCATAAATAGTCGTAAAGCGGATATAACTGGAATTGCTACAATTCCTGACGTTGCAGCAAATTGAAACGTCGTTAAGACAGCCGTTATATACTTTGATTGCACTGCACCGATAACACACATTAAAGTCTATTTATATTCACTACAACCACTGTCTTAGTCTTAGTAGAACGGCGGGCTGTTTCTTCAACTCGACACCCAGTGCCTTTTTTTGCGTGGGGATTGGCATCAGTCCTGACATCCCAACTCCTCCAGAAAGCTCAGCAGTCCCCGGATGTTGCTGCAGGCTTCTACTAGTGTCCGCGGGCTTCCCATTAGAGAAGTCCTTTGTCTTGTAACGCCTCTGCACTCCAGCAGAATATGGGCGCTCGTCTCCTCCTCCTCCAGGCAGGCTCTGCACAGAGGGCTGTCAGAAATACCTATATTATAAAGGTGTTTGTTGAAGTACAAACCACTGTGACATATACGTAGTTATATACTAGTTCAGCCATAAGTTCTGTTACAAATGAAATTGCATTTTTAATTAAAATTTATACCTTCATATTTATTAAAACTATTCGAAATGTCCACCTTTGGCTTTTATACAGGTCTTTAATCTGTTTGGCCACGAATCTATGGATTTGCGCACTGTTTCCAAGGGAAATTTCGCCAATGCTTGCTCCAAACATTTTTTAAGAGACAATGTCGCAGTGTCGTTTAGAGCAGGCCATGTTCTCTAAAATTGACCATAATTTGAAGTGTAAAGGGTTGAGATCTGGGTTAGATGAGGGCCATTCTTCTACTCTTCTTAAGTCCGGAAAGTTGGTTTCAAGTCAGGCTTGGATAGTTCGTGCCTTGTGACAAGGTGCTGAATCCTGCTGGAAAGTCCACGGTATATTTTTAATAAGTGTATTGCTGAGAGGTTTCACAACATGATCCAAGACTGTATCTTGATACACTTTGGCCGAAGTTTTCCCTACTTTTTCACATAAATGTAGTATTGTGACTCCTTGATAAGACACGCCCCACTAAACCGTCACTGACGCAGGATAATTACCACGTTGTACCTTTCCGACCACTTGAGCAGTTTCTTTAGAACTAAATAAAACTAGTTTTTTACGGGTTAATGCACGAAACTTTATTTATTTATTGACGTTTCGTAGCCTTTACAGGCTACGTCGTCGGAATCAAATTTTTATTCTTTAGAACTGTGAGCGTACATTTTATCATTTTTATAATTGCAGTGTTCTTCAATCGTGAAATTTTTTTCATCGGTAAAGAGGATATTTCTGTGCTTTTACGATACGCAGGTGTATCGCGACAGAAGGCGTTTTTATCGATCGCCTCTCTTTAACTGTAAAGATTGATTTAGGGTTTATTTAATTTGATAATGAACAAGAAAAAATATGTGAAATGGCGCAAAATCGAAAGAAGTTTTTAAAATAATATACGCGTTCCAAATTCTAAATAATTAAAAGTTGAAAAATTGTGAAATTGTCGTAGTTCCTTTCCAAATGGCATAATCGACTTTATTTTATATTTCCCCGACTCAAGTTAAAACACGCTTACATTAGGTATAAATACTCCCTGGCTCTGTATTTATAATAATAGATCAAATGAATGTTACATAGTTACGGCGATTATAACAAAAAATCTCTGCACCATCAGATACAGTTTTAACACTTGCAGCTATTTATTTATATTAATACTTATTTAGATTTTTACAATGAAACACGAACTGCTTTGTCTATTTTTTATTAAAGCAAATACCTACATTCCTTCATTTTCAATTATCATTTTAATAACAGAAAATACTTTTTGTTTTACTATGCGAACAATTCAAATCAACTAAAATATGTCTTTTGTTATTGAAATTATTCCTAGATTCCTTAATGTCCCTACTGCTAGGGCACACGCCTTCCCTATGGATGGAATAGAGAAATTGGGCCATGTCCCACCACGCGGGCCCAATGCGGATTGGCGGGTGCTAACGACTGCAGATGCAGCCGAGACTAACGGCTGAACGTGCCTTCCGAGAAGTACGGAGGAACTCGAGATAGAAGATTTTTGGTCACCCATCCGATGACCAACCACTGCTAAAGTTGCTTAACTTCAACAATCGCAGCCGAACGCGCTAACTACCTGCGCCATAGAGCATATTTGAAATACATTTATCTATTTCAAAAATCTCCATAGAAAGGGCTTAGTGTCTCCTATTCGGACAAACCAGCAAAAAAACCAGCGAGCCTTACAGTAGTCGCGTATGATGTGTAACATTTGAAACCTCACCTTATATTAGTAAAAAATTAAGTAAAACCTACTACAAATGGAATAAGCCATTTGAACCTTTAAGATTTGAACAATTTATGTTCTAAAATCAAATCAAATAGCGCGTGCATTGGCGACTTCCTGTTACACACTTCCGTCCCATTTCACGAAATCATTCCCACAAATTGCAGGAATGCGAGAGGAAAGATTTTACTCATAAAAAACTGATAATTACTGTTTCATAAATCACGTAGTATCCAAGTAGTCGGTGTTCGAATCCTTATTTTACAGGGGCACAAAATGAAAAGTTTGGAAAATTTGCTTTAAAACCAGGAAATTGCGTAAAACTGAATATAAATTTGTTATTTTTTAAGCATGTATGATTTCTCGAGTTATTTTATTAAAATAATTTTCGACCCCCGGGAAGAGGTGGCATCTACCCCCAGTGCAAAAGCGCAAGTTGGCACTATGTCACTTTTGTTTCTTAAGGTATCCCCCCCCCCCCCCCCACCTACTCACCAATTTTCATGAAAATCGATGGAAGTTCAACGAAATCGGAGGTTGTACCTGATTTTTGCCTTCATTGTCTGGACTAATATACATGCTTAAAATTTTAAAAATATGACTTAATTTTTTTTTGAAGTGATCCTAAAGAGGTGAGCAGTCTGCCACATAAATATAGTCATATTTAAAACATTATCTCTCCGAATGATGGCCAAGATTAGTGTTGAGTGTTGTCGTCACTAATCCCTTTCATGCTTTTCATTTGACGGTTACAAGAATTTCCAAAACCTGTCCGATTCTACAATTTTTCCGTAAGATTTTTTAAAGTAAAATTTTTTTTCGGACTGGGTGTAAATGGAAAAATCCTATGGAAAAGGTAAAACTGAAATGCGTCACGAGCGTCACACGATTCATATTCGTATCGTTTCAGCCTTCAGCACACGTGACAATATACCTAGTCAGGTCATAAATTCTGTCACATGTTTAATATAAAATAATTGAAACTAGTTTATTCATTATGTAACTATTTATATACCAAAATGAACTTAACAAAACATAGATTCTTGTGACGATAAAGTTTATTCAAAATGACCTCCGTGATTTTGAATACAGGCCTTTAATCTGCGCGGCCAGTCGTCTATCGCAGCACGAACGAGGTCCATGTCAATATCGGCGGCTGCCTTAATCAAGGATGTCTTGAGTGACTCCAAATTGGGATGAGGCTTTGAGCACGCCTTTTCCTCCAAGTGTTGCCATATCTTGTAATCTAACGGACTCAAATCTGGACTGGAGGAGGGCCAGTCTTCGTGCCGGATGAAGTCGATTTCACGCGCCGCCAGCCAGTCTTGTGTGCTATTCACTCTATGGGCTGGCGCCGAATCTTGTTGGAATACCCAGTGCCTGTTATTGAACATGGTATGAGAAACAGGTTCCACAAGGTTCGTCAGGACTGTATTTTGATACACAACTGCATTCATGTTTACACCTTTCTCACACAAAAATGTACCTCTGTTAAGCCCCAATAAGAAACTCCCAACCATACCATGAGCGAGGATGGAAAATGACCTCGTTGGACACGCAGAATACAGTTGTTCGCTTCTTCACTACTGTGTGCGTACACCTTATCATTTTGTTTGTTGTAGCTCTCTTCTACGGTTTAACTACGATTTATACGGTTAGCATTCAAACGATGTCCTGTTTTTCTTCGATATGTCCGAAGCCCTAAGTCTTCATTTAACACCCTTTGCACCGTGGTTCTGCTTAACCCCATCTGAAGGGCCAACACTTTCTGCTTACGTTTGGGATTTCTTTGAATTCGCGCCTTCATAGCTTTTATCACTGCTGGAGTCCTAACAAACTGAGGGCGACCACATCTTGACCTGTCATCTACATTAGAGTCTTCATTATATCGGTTGATGGTACGATAAACGAATCTTTTGGTTATATTAAAATTTTTCAGTATGTCAAAAAATTTAATTGGCGCGTAATCGCAACGATGCAACGCAATAACTGCAACACGGTCTTCTTTAAGCGTCCACTCCATATTTAAAAATGAGTTAAATTCTAAAAAGTATACATTTTTATTTTCATGAACAATTCGAAATTAGAATTCAATAAACTTTTTTGTGGCCAGCATTCTAAAAGAAAAGATTTTATTGTGTGACAATACTTATGACCTGACTGTGTATATTATACATATATATGAGTGATGTGTGCGGTGCTCCATTCCCCTATGCCTTAGGCACAGCCTCATTTTAGTTTAGTTAAGAAAAGAAGTTTCACTTCAGATGTGTGGTCCATGCACACATTTTTTTTTCTGTAAGAAACTTCTACAAATTCTTAGAAGAAAACTTTATACAATCAAGATGAATAAAAGTCGTTCCCAAGTTATGGCGTTACTAAGTGAAATAGGGGTTGATTTTTATATTGCAACATAAATTCATGAAATAAATATACTTTTTCCAGTAAGAGTAACCAACAAAATGAACGCGGAAGGTGTAATGGTGTCATACAACTACTCAGAAGACGAGGAAGACGCAAACATACTGACGGTTTCAGCATCAGGCATAAAGTTCTCCAACCGCTGGGTCCTCACGCATGGGTCCATACTATCGCCATTGAAACAAGCCCGTATAATACAAAATGCTAAAGGAAAACCTATATTGAGCGAGGAGTTCTACAACAATCTACCAGAAATATATGTGACTTGCGAGAAGACAAAGAAAAATGATGGGAATTTGTATGACGCGGTCGAGCAGCTGAGCAGAGAGAGGCATGTGGACGGAGACGATTTTGAACACAGCAGTTATCAGATCAGGGTTCTTACAGGCAGGTATGTAACTATGTTCATATTCCTCTCAGGCATAATCACAGAGAATGGACTGCGCGTTTCTGACCTACTGTAAAGGGAATATCATCGTCATATCGACGACCGACCTCCGTGGCCGTGGGTTTGTACGCGCGGTTTCAAGTTATCGCCTACTCGAGAGGTCCCGGGTGCGAATCCCGATGGGGACAGATGTCTGTGTGATGAATACGAGCATTTGTACTCCAGCCATGGATGTTCAATATGTATATCTATATATATATACTTATATATGTATCAGTATATGCATGTATTCTATCCGTTATCCTTGTATCCCATAACTTAAGCTCACAGTCCTTACTGGGATAGGCTAATTGGTGTGTGTGTCGAAAACATTTATTTATTTATCTACTATATAAAAATAAGTCGGGTTTTCCTTCCTGACACTATAACTCCAGAACGCACGAACCGATTTCCACAGTTTTGTATTCGTTGGAAAGGTCTCGGGCTCCGTGGGGTTTATAGCAAAGAAAATTCAGGAAAAATTTCAAAAAAAAAAAACTTCTTTTAATCACCAAACGAAATGTTACATAAAAAGAAGCCATCTGGTAGCGAAACGGAGTTCGCCGGGTTTGCTAGTTATTTATATATATTTAAATTCCGCGTCCCAAGGAGAAATTCTCGTGCTCTCATTACTCCGTTTTGTCCTCATTTACGCAAAACAGACCTATGGCAACTTCCGTAGTACCAAGACTGAGTAAGCTTCATTCATTCCAGCTGCTGCATTTCGCCATTGTACATCGCAACAAAAATTTCATCCCCATCATCTTGATGCGTGGCTATCCACAACCGTGCGTTTTTCTCAAATTTTTTTACCACGTACGACAAATCTGTGGAATATATTGATGCCAGCAGTGTTTCCGGACCAATACGACCCAAAAACCTTCAAAAAAGAGCGTACTCGTTCCTTAAAGGCCGGCATCGCATTTGTGATACTCCTGGTGTTGCAAGTGTCCATGGGCGACGGTGATTACTTACCATCAGGTGAGCAGTCTCGTATGCCCTCTAAAACTTGTTAACACAAGTAATGTTGACATCTTTGCCGACTCATTTACCAAGCTCAAAAGAAATTTAAGTGCTTAATACATAGGTTAAATTCTGGCGTGTGTTTTTTCTTGTCTTACATCATCATCATCATCGGCCTGTTAATGTCCCCACTGCTGGGGCACAGGCCTTCCCTATGGATGTAATAATCTAATCCCCCTTGTCTTACATATTGTTATTTATTTTTTATTTAGTATTGTTACAATGTGATGCCTTTTGAAATAGTGAATTGATCAAGTTACTACTTATATTGTATGTTCTTTTGTTTTTCTTTTTGCATTTGGTGTTCACCTTTGTAATTTGTTATACTGAGCCTATATCTTTGTTATCATAATTTCATAGTTTGTAATTGTATAAACAAATACTGGTGATCCTAATAAAATAAATAAATAAATATCATTTTAGGATATTTTTTTATAATAAACCTATTAACTACTTCAGCTCCGTACGGGTTACATCTTTGAAGTTCGGTTATGAATTAGGATGATGAATTTTATTTTTTCGTCCTTCAGTTAGATTACCAAAAGCGCAGAACACGTATTTTATTGACATAAAACATTACAGAGATATCGAAATGTCGTGTGACGTCACGTCTTGCAACCCCTCCCCACCCCCCCAACCTAAACTTTGACGCGCTTTATTTTTGTAATTTTTGTAATTTTTGGTAGATTGACAAAAGAAAAAAGTTATTTTTTGATAATCTAACTGATGGACTCAACAGGATTTCCTCCGTCATCAACCGTATTTCCCAATTTTCTGTTGAATAAAAAAACCATAAATTTTCAAGTGTCTGTTCTTTTGTTTTTTGTGAGTTTCATTTTCATTTATTTGCACTTTTTTTGTTAATTTACTTACTTACTTTGTTAATTGTAACTGAATTTAAAAAGAAATGCATACGTACTACAATTTGTATATCACTTTATTATTTTTATCACTTAATAAAACATTCCTTTCATTTAAAATGCTATGTTATTTAGCAAAAAACAATACTTATGATTAACCATTTCGATGGTGAAATGATAAAATATGTCGTTTTTTTCGAAATTTCACGAGTTTGATTCCCAATTGTAACAGGCGATTTTTAAAAAATCTGCGAATGCAGTTCTAGTTATTATTAAAAATAAAATGATGTCTTCTTTCAGTAAAATATCCTATCTTCAATATTTAATATACTTTCCCTCCGTCTGAGGTAGCCGTAGGACGCCCTGTATATATTTCCTTATGATTTCTCCGTCAATTGTGGACCGATTCCCAAAATTCTTGTTTTATTCGAAAGAGTACACTTCCGAGGTTGTCCCATTGGAACCAAGTCAGGATCTGATGGTGGGATCCGGGGATATCGAGAGAAACCTTTAAATTTCAAAAGCACGCACGATGTTTTTTATGCATGTTCACCGATTTCTCCGTCAATTGTGTTATTGTTTACTTGAACGATGTAATTTTCACTGAAATGGATTAAATAAAAAAAATTTAAACAAAAAATAAAACCGACTTCAAAATCGAAAATGGAACTAAAAAGTAAATAATAATATCTGGTTCACGATTAAGAAGTCGGGCGGAGTCTAAATGCAAACAACAAAATTAAAGAATAACGCATTGTCATCGACTATTACAAATATTGATATCGGAAGATTGAAACATTAAATAGATTTTCGTTTCTGATCGGTAATATTCTTTCAATCTTGACCCGCCCGACTTCCACAAATCAAGAACCAGATATTATTTTTTACTTTTTAGTTCCATTTTCGATTTTAAAGTCGGTTTTATTTTTTGTTTAACATTTTTTTATTCATTAAGTGTAGATGATTATTGGGTATTTCAGGATATGTCACGTATGGCAGTGTCCAATACTGGATCGGTGCGTGGACGATATTCTGTACAGTTGGACCATCGGCCATCGCGACGGGGACGTTCAGGCGCAGACGCAGCTAGGGAAGGCGCTGCTGTCAGTATTTGTGCTTGTCGACTTGGAGAGCGATAACAGAGGTATCTAGTTGTATTTTAGGATATTTCACGTATGGCAGTATCCAATAATACGGAATTGGTGCGTTGACAACATTCTGTACTGTTGGACCATCGGCCATTGCGATAGGGACGTTCAAGCGCAGACGCAGCTTGGGAAGGCGCTGCTGTCAGGCTGCGTGCTCTTCGATTTGGGAGAGTGAGAACAGAGGTACCTAGTTATATTTCATTATTTGTAACGTATGGCAGTGTCCAATAATACGGGATTGGTGCGTTAACAACATTCTGTACAGTTGGACCATCGGCTATCGCGATGGGGACACGTTTGGGTAGGCGCTGCTGTTAGGCTTCGTGCTCTTCGACTTGGGAGAGTGAGACCAGAGGTATCTAGTTGTATTTTAGGATCTGTCACGCATGGCAGTGCCCTTTTTTTTAGATCGAAGTATTCCTGGATCGGTGCGTTGACAACATTCTGTACAGATGGAACATCGGCAATCGCGACGGGGACGTTCAAGTGCAGATGCAGCTTGGGAAAGAAGTGCTGTCAGGCGTCGTGCTTGTCGTCTTGGAGAGTGAGATCTAGTTGTATTTTAAGGATATGTCACGTATGGCCAGCGCCCTATTATAGGAAATAATACATCTATTAAAGATCGGTGCGTCGACGACATTGTGTGTGTTGAGGCGCAGTTCGGGTCGTACATATTTGTTTTTTAAGTCCCAAAATTGAGCTAAGAGCATTTTTCCATTAGTTCTTTATTTAGCGATTAATTTCCCCCGTATTGTGTCGATTTTACATTAAACGCAAGTGAAAAGAAAATAAAGGAAATAGTGGAAAATATAATGAAGTCGCTAATAAAGGTAACTATTCCATCAAACAGGTAACAAATAAAAACCATTTTTAACGGAAAATATTGATAAGAAAAATTTATTAAATCACATTATTCAGTCAAATCGCCTATGGAAGAATAGTAATCTGTTCTCATAAGTACGTCACTTATTCGGCTTACACGTGTGGATCATATCTGTGGACAAGTAAACATTACGTGAATGAGATGGTGGACTCAAATTAGATCCGCTCGTTAACGGTCAAAGGATGTGTGTCTCAGTCAGTTCAGTGGTAATAACACGACTGTTGCGTCGGCTCGAGCCAGTTTATTTAAGGTGAAACTTTTATTACATCTTCACAAACTTTTTCGTTCATCTCTTGCACGCCGCATTACATTTTTAATTGTTACTAAAAAACCAGAGATCATTAGCATCGTTTGCTTGTACGAAAAAGAAAAGAATGGAAAAATACCATCTGCAGGGTCAGCTGATAACGTGTATTCGTTTTTCCAGGAGCGCACGGTACCCATATGCTCTGGTCCCATCGGGAACAGGTCGAAGCAGTAGTCCACAGCGATCTTAACAATCCTGATGGCGCCCAGTGTGAACCTACACAGGTCACAATGACTGATTGCCATCATGAGGATCGTTTGCTTGTTTGAAAAACAATAGAATGCTACTCCTACCATCTCTAAGGTCAGCCATTAGCGTGTATTCGTTTTTCCAGGAGCGCACGGTACTCATATGCTCTGGCCCCTTTGGGAACAGGTTTAAGCAGTTATCCACAGCGTCCTTTACAATCCTGACGCCCAGCACGAGCTTGCCCAAGTCACGATGACTGTTTGCCATCATGAGTATCGTTTGCTTGTTCGAAAAACAAAATAATGGTACTCCTACCATCTCTAGGGTCAGCCATTGGCGTGTAGTCGTTTCTCAAGGAGCACACGGCACCCATATACTCTGTTCCCGTCGGAAACAGGTTGAAGCAGTTGTCCACAACGTCCTTGTCAAGCCTGACGCCCAGCGTAGGCTTGCCAGGTCACGATGACTATTTTCTATCATGAGGATCGTTTGCTTATACGAAAAACAAAAGATATGGTACTTCTCAATCTCTAGGGTCAACCATAAACGTGTAGTCGATTCTCGAGGAGCGCACGGTAACCATATATTCTGTTCCCGTCGGGAACAGGATGCAACAGTTGTGCACAGCGTTCTTGACAATCCTGATTGCGCCCAGCGCAAACCTACACAATTCATGATGACTATTTGCTGTCTTAAAGATCGTTTGCTTGTTTGAAAAACAAATAAATGCTTCTCTTACCGTCTCTAGGGTCAGCCCTTAGCGTGTAGTCGCTTCTCCAGGAGCGCACAGTACCCATGTGTTCGGGCCCTGTCGGGAGCAGCTTGAAGCAGTTGTCCACTGCATCCTTCTTGACCATCCCGATGACGCCCAGTGCCAGGCCGCCCAGCAGCACCGCGTGCCCCGACCCGAGGTACGCAGCCAGAATAGGACCGCACGCGAGACCACCTGTAATGCAGACACTTCACATTTCTGAAGAAAGTTTTCTGCAGGCCGGCAAGATGAAGATGGTTGGTGTGGCAGTTTATAACTGCTTCACCAGCTATCTTCGCACCTGGACTTTACCACCATTTAACACCAGGGTAGAACCATTTGTCTACTTAGCTATAAAAATACATGGCTATCCTTATTAAATTGACTATTTGCATACTTGACTGTAGTCTCTCACTTTCTATAAAGCACGGGATATTAAAAAGTATTTAATTTCGATGCTAGGTGGGTAGGCTAAGGTAAAAGTAGTTATTTGGCTTCAATTTTTATTGAACCGAGTCCCGTAAAAAGGTACTGAGTTGTCTCAGGGTTTTTTTAAAGAAGAAAAATATGCGGCAATAAAAAACGTAGTATATTGAATTAAAATTGCAACTGTCTGCCTGCTGACAGACGGACGGAGAGCAGAGCTAATCTGTTATCATATTTTGGAAATGAAACCTTTAAAACTAATTTAACATTCTCTGAACTTTCCAAGGGATGCTCATTCAAAAATGATATAAACAACTAATACCTAATAGAAAAACAAAATCTGGATTCATAACTTACCAAAGAAGTAATTGAATCTGTCATCCTTTTCTCTAAAATGCTGTACTCCGTTAGCTACAGCCGCGAACGTAGCCCCCATTAGCCCCAAAGGCGCGATGTGTAGCATATAGCTGAAAACATTAATATATATAGGAAAATCTACGTCCACAATTACAGTAATAGCTAAGGTTAATTGTCATCATCACCAGCCTATCAATTGTCGGCACTGCTGGGGTACAGGCCATAGCCTGGTTAGCCTGTGGGCGGAATAGCATAATATAGCCTGGGAAGATTGGGCCGTGAGCCAGCATTAAAAGACTAAACTTTTCATCATCATCAGCCTCTTGATATCCCCACTGCTGGGGCACAGGCCTTCCCTATGGATGGAATAGAGAGATTGGGCCATGATCCAACACGGGGCCCAGTGCGGATTGGCGGGTGCTAACGACTGCAGATGCAACCGGGACCAACGGCTTAACGTGCCTTACGAAGCACGGAGGAACTCGAGATTAGAAATTTTTGGTCATCCAATGACCGAACACTGCGAAAGTTGCTTAACTACAACGATCGCAGCCGAACGCGCTAACCACTCCTCCTCTCTAAAACTACTAAACTTTTATCGTCTTATTTTCGTGACAGAAAGTAGGCTGGGTCCTTTTCCGAGTTTTCACCTCCTTGCCAACATTTACTTGCTGTTACTGTAAACTATAGGCGTGAGTGCAACAGCAACTATTGTTTTTAGGGTAAGGATGAAGTACTTTTACTTATGAAATGTTCGAAAAAAAGATTTAGAGAATCATGCCAGAATAAAGATGCCTGATCATTTTATGCCTCATTTTAGCATGGTTCTCTAAACTTTCAATAAATTTGACTAGAGTTCTCTTCTGATTATATCTATACAGCAGGACAAGGATATATGTACCACGGCTGAATGACAAGATTAGAATTAAAATTTACTGGAATCTTGCGAGAATAAGGCCCATTGTATCCATTAAACTTCTTTGTGAAAGTTAACAAGAAGATCTTCCAATTATTTGTACATATTTCTGGTAAATATTTCAAGTTAATTTCCTTGGTTGAATTTCAATGACCATTGGTGGATGGATCCTAATAACTTTCTCCACCTAAGTCCATCATGTCGGCCAATTTCATTACAGATAAGGTTAGGCTTCCGCTGCCTTAAGCGGGAGTACGGAGCAGACGTCCGTCGCGGAGACCCACTCCGTGCTTCGTCGCGGACAAATTCAATCTGTCTCTCGGAGCGCCGCGCCGCTATTACAATTTCGATCACGCGGGTGAACAGCCGATAGTGGATTATTTTTGATAATAATACTACTAGTCAAAAGACGATGCAGACAAGAGCACAGAAGACAGCCAATCGAGCGGGCACCGCCCGCACCGTGTGAGGCGAGAGACTCGCCTGCAAATGACATGAAAGAGCGCGTGTAACGGATGTCCGCTCCGTGCTTACGCTTAAGGTAACGGAAACTCTTAGAATCGCACAACATACCGTCTAATGGTCTTCACGAGTCCGACAGTATGCGAGTACATGAGAACATCATAAGTGCCAAAAACCAAACCAGTCATGACTCCGTATCGAGACGTCACAATCATCTATAAAAGAAAGGATAGGTACATTAAAATGCCAACTGTATACTGAAAATAAAGGCTTTTGAATGCTGGAACAAAAATACCATTAAGAAGTCAATATGGCCGCGGCCCCTGATTGAAAGCTTAAAGTTAAATGTGTCTTCTGTACATAACAAATGCGGAAATCTTTTTCAAATTCTTCTTTTAGATACAGTCATGCCAAAAACTACGCACTGAATGTTCTCAGACGCACTGCGAGTTTTTCCCCATATTAATTTAACTCACTTAATATTCAAGTGATGTTGGTTGACGTGTTTCTGGCGAGATAAATTACTGCAAAAACATTTATGAACAGAAAATTTATTGCTAACATAATATAATTTATCATAATTTTCTCTGTTATTTGTTTTGTGCTTTTGAAAACTGTTAAGGCTTATTAATATTACATAATTTAGTTTTATCCTCTATAATAACATGCCGTTTGTTTAACTATTCATGTCCTTTCCCGGGAGTCAATGCAGATCTTTTTCAAATATCAATCAAATCGGTTCAGCGGTAGCGGTATAAGCTTGAATAGGTTACAGACAGGCAGACAGACACAATTTCGCATTTATGATGTAGGTATAGATATGGATTACTTGAGCAAAGTTGCAAAGTTTTCACAGTTTCTTCTGTCTCCCTGTTTCAATCGAAAAGTTGTCAGCTCATAGTCAACTTTAAATTTTAAAGCGAACTAAGTAGACTTTCTTTTACCATCTGCACACAGATAAATTTCTTTATTACATCTATTTATATCAGACCTGACCACGCCTGTTATTAGGAAAGTAGATTTGTTATCCGTGATTCTTTCTCAATTAAATGATCATCACCTTTTTGCCAACATCGCAGCCGTCTGGAGTGTCGTAGTATCTATAATAATTCCTTGTGAATTTACTCTCATCACATCCGCATTTGTCTGCACTCATTGTAATTGCGTGAGCTTTTCTAAAATTATCACCAAATCAAATGCATTTTCAGGTACATGAAAATCGCCTTTTCAACTTTGACAGAAAATATTGACGAATAAGACGTCATTATATATATTTTTATTGGTTTATTTTGAAATAAAGCCAAAAAGGTTTTTAAGGTATTTTTTATAAAGGCTGTGAAAATAAATCAAAAAGAATTCAATCAAACCGTATGTAGCGGCTCCACGAGAACCGTTTTATCGGTTTTAGAGCTAATTTTGTATTTTCTCTGATAGAAATTATTTAAAATTATATCAATTAAACGTATGAGAAGCGGAATAAAATAACATCTACGATCTGGCAACGCTGGTGACACTCCATCGTGACAGAATGTATCGATGAACTAAAAGCATTCCTTCCTTTAAACTTGACTAAATTTTAATTGATTTAGTACGGCAGTAATGACTCTGATGACTACTCGTCTACCGTTCCTGGTTGCCACAATTTTACAGGGTAGAGGATTAGTGTTCAGGGTAGGAACATGAGAGTGGCTGGTGTTTTTCTGTATCGCTTGACTATGTTCAAGCTCAGACTCCACAAGCAAACAAACTCCAATAAAAATCAAGACATTAATTTAACCAAAACGAATTGATATTTATATTTAAAAAGTTAAATAAAACTATGAACTGATCATCGTCATTTTCTTCTTTACAGCACTTAAAACGTTGAGACCGCTATCAGAGTTGCTGGACATCGTACGACCACCACCACAGAGAGGGTCAACAATCGAGATTCATTCCACACCTTTCGGTTGTGAGGTTTGTGACGATTTTATAGATCTATATGAAACTAGCTTTCCGCCCACGACTTAGCTTATTTCGGAACAGCTTCCATTCCCCGCTTAACCTCCTGAGGTATAAGTTACCTATTCCGTCCGCGGTTTTTGTCTGGCTTTCAAATTTTATAATACGGGTTTTAATAGACTAAGATCCTATGTAAATATATGTTTATTATAGGCATTATTACGGTTTTTAATTTTGTAGGCGTTTTTAAATGCAGTCACTCGAGGCTCTATATGCGGTGTGGTGGGCAAGAAGCCTTCGTTACTGCTCGCTGACGCGGCAACAGCACTCGGCTCGGAAGGTGGGCCCGTGTTCACAGAAGGACCGACGTAAGTAAAATTATTTTAATAAATTTTTTTATTGAAGCTTCAGAAGTTTACTCCTGGTTTCTAGATGTTAAGAGTAAATGGAGATCTTTTGCTAAATGTAAAGAAAAGTTTACTAGAAAAAAATCCACGCGGACCAGGCAGCGGACTGGACTGGCCTGGTCCGCGTGGATTTTTTTCTAGTAAACTTTTCTTTACATTTAAACATCTAGCAGTTAAATGCTTAAAAAATAAATAAAAAATCATATCTTTTGCTAAGTCAAAAGTGTTTAGTCGTCCTCATGAACTACAAAACAAACAGAATATATGTACCAGGCATGCGTATTCATTGCGACACTATTTAAAACAGTGTTTTAAAATCTTTTTTTTTTAACATCAGAATTACTAAATCAATTATCGTCAGCAACGATATACCAATACGACCAGTACCCTTAGTACGATTTTTACAATTACGAAAACTATGATAGTTTTCATGAGCTCGCACTCGATGATTTTATTGTTTTCGTTTCAATACAAATAAACAGTGTTTAAATTCTATCATTAAATCGTTTGCGTCTTATATATTTGGTTACTCTTCACCAAAATGGACATAGGAACATCTCTTATCTATTAGACAAGTCCTTTGTCTGTGATGCTGTTTCAGCGGCCAAACCGTAAGAGATAGATAAAGAGAATATTTAAGTTATAAGTTAAGAATAGTCTGATAAGACTATAAACCGGATTTGAGTAACGTAGCACTTCCGGTTTTCGAGAAATCAGGTTTTGGTGAACATTTGGTTCACTGGTTTGCTAGTAATTTATAATTACAAAAACCATGATAGTTTTCGTGAGCGCAAACTCGTACCCTTAGTACGACCCACCATGAGACCATGAGACGTCATACACCCATGAGAACGTATTCCATTCTTGTAGCTGGAAAAATGTTAATGATCTCTTACCTTCGTGTGGGCCCGGTTACCCACTAGCATCGTCATCATTAACATATTAATGGATTATGATTATAAAAAACGAGTCATGGACCTCCACGCAGGCCTAGTGATTATTAGTGAATGCTGATGACATATACAGCCCTCTTAAAGTTACTTGCTTCCCCCCGCGACTCAGTTCGGAAAAAAAAGGTGCACGACACTATAGTTGATAGGGACATTAACATTAATTTCGCGTGATTTTTTTTCCGTAAGATTCTAGAAATGAATAAAAAAATCATTGAAAGTAGATGGATAAAATCATTGAAGTCATTTTCAATGTATGGTATAATCAAAGGAATAGGTATTCATTTTCATTTATGAAGAAGTTTAAACTTGCAGGAACGAACTAATAGGTACAGTGGTATGCAGCGTATCATGGTGGCGCGGGGAATGGGTGGGGTTGACGTTGGCTGCGCCGCTGGTTTCTGTGTTAGCGGCCAAGCTTAGAGTCACGCCGCAGAGAGTGCCGAGACCTTTGACGTCAAACCCTAACAGCGACATATTAGGTGAGGACTCTAGAAACCATCTGTCCCTCAAGCACCAACTTGAGGCAGCATTTCAAATCCAGAAATACTGGGTATGATAAAACTGAGTGTGCCGGATAGGTAGGTGGCGCGGCGCAGGCGGCCGAAACTATTCGCGGTACCAGCCGCGATAATCTTGTAGCTAAGTCACCTTTGACGCGTACGTTGCACACCTTGAATCTAGTTGCCGTAAGAATTGATTTATTTCACTGTCCATTATCTTTATTGACGTGACAACGTCTTAAATTAGGTTGCGGCTGGGAGTCACTTATGAAAAAGTGTAACGCTCGGTAACGTTACGATGAGTTTAAGTTTACATGTACAATGTTTTAGTAAACAAAATATATTTCTATAGTTAAAATTTGTGCAATTCTTATTTTCATTCAATTCCTTGTTCCTATTGTGCAATTTAATTATATTCATATCAATAAATATTCTACCGAGAAAAAGACGTTGTCACGTAAAATCTTCGCCCGTAAAACCGACTTTACAGGCAACCATTTTTTAAAAGATCGGTGGTAATGGAAATTGGTAATAGAGGTGACAGTATTAAATAATAGAAGTATAATTCAATTCATTTCTTAAAATATGTACTTACTCGTATATATACTATGTTATGTTAATTTATATGTAACAAAATGGAATTATTTTTTATTGTCTTTTTTTAATACAATTATGTTTATTTTATTAATTGTAATTTTAAGAACTACACTATTGCATTAGGAGTATTCCTGTAAAAATAGCTGTATGTGTTTTCTAATAAATAAATAAAAAAATTGTGTGTGTCAGCTCCGACGCACGACTGAAGTTTACTCTTTAAGTTCAATAGTCTAACCAGACGCAAAAAGAGCTGATTTAACTTAAAAAAGATTGATACTGTGTGAAAGGGTAAATTAACAAATTAATGAAAATAATATACATATATAAATATATATTTATTCATTTCATATACATTTATTATAACTAATCGACGAAATATTTTACATTAAACTTTTTACAATAGTCAATTTCAGATGTGTATAAATATATCTTTATGAATGTTGATAAATTATGTAATTATTATTATCAGACTATTATCATTTTTTTTAAATATTAATTAAATCAACATTGTCTGCATTATTAATACAGTGGCAAGTGGTTTATGGTAACTAAAATAAGACACATGGACGTTCGTAGATACGTGGTTCACGAATCTTGAAAATACCGCATCAATGGTTGTACCATACCTCGTTGTCCCCATTGCTCTATCAGAAACAATATCTAAATTCAGTTCAGATTTTAAAAATTTTATTAATGTCAATTCTTCATCTTTGTTTGTCAAAGTTGTGCGACATAAGATGCGCACCAAAAACGTAACGAGGTCATTCATCGATAGATTTTACTCCTCACATTTTTCTCCGGGCCCCTTTATATATGCAAATCGATTCTTAAGGAGTAAACTCCAATAAACTTTGACAAATCGGTATTACTATCGCCATTCATCGAAGTTTCTATGGAAAAAGCCAGTTTGTTCTTATTTTGTTGCCATAGAAACTTTGGCTTTGACAAAGTTTTTGCTTAAGGTACTGGCAGATTTAAAATTAGGTCCGATAAATGAATCCCTAGCTGATGTTAAGTGACGGTGAAGTCCAGACGCAAAGATAGCGAACATTGGTAGTGCCACTGTCGTTTGTATTAGCCAATAAGCTCAGAGTCACGCCGCAGAGAGTGCCAGCAGACACTTGTCGTCAGGATCCTTTGCAAAGATCTGATAATGCAGTAATAAGTGGGTGGAGCTGGTGTCTGTATTACTGGCTAAACTTAGAGTCACACCGTAGGAAGTCCCAAGACCTATGTCGTCAAATCCACACATCTACATACATATTAGGTGAGAACTCTAAGAACGATCTGAAAGTATATTAATAAAGGGATGGAAATGGTGTCTGTGTTGACGGCCAAGCTTAGTGTCACGCTTCTGAATGTTCTAAGACCTTTGACGTCAAACCTAGTAGCTATATGTTAGGTAAGGAGAACCCTACCCAGGCGTAACAAGCGGCGACTCATAACTGGACCCCGCAGTTACGCCTGGAGGGTGAGGGGTAGATCGGGGAGTTAGTTTACCTGGTAGGTACGGGAGCTAGTCAGCTGGCTAGCCGCTCGGACCGCAGACCGAGCGGCTAGCGATATGTTAGGTAAGGAGAACCCTACCCAGGCGTAACAAGCGGCGACTCATAACTGGACCCCGCAGTTACGCCTGGAGGGTGAGGGGTAGATCGGGGAGTTAGTTTACCTGGTAGGTACGGGAGCTAGTCAGCTGGCTAGCCGCTCGGACCGCAGACCGAGCGGCTAGCGATATGTTAGGTAAGGAGAACCCTACCCAGGCGTAACAAGCGGCGACTCATAACTGGACCCCGCAGTTACGCCTGGAGGGTGAGGAGTAGATCGGGGAATTGGTTTACCTGGTAGGTACGGGAGCTAGTCAGCTGGCTAGCCGCTCGGACTGCGGCCCGTGAGACTAGTCAGGTGACGCTGTGAACGGAGAAGCTCAGGATCGGCTAAAGCGGGTGCGGACCGGGCTGCCGGTCGGAGGCGGGCTGGTTTGATGTATGCCACGCTTGCGTGAGTGCACGTCAAAGTATACCCGCACCGACTAGCGGCCCTCGGGCAGCTCGCTGCTTGCCGAATGCACCACGCAATTACCTGCGTTGCGAGGGTTTGTTAACAGCAAACCGTGGCGTTGGTCATTTTTGTGGATATAATACATATTTTCTCCCCGTCACCGAAAAAAAAAGTATTTAGGACCCTAGCAACGATCTGATAGGTACAAAGTTGATTAGGTGCTTAGGTGCGGTAAGCTTAGAGTGGCGCCACAGAAAGTGCCAAGATCGCTGACGTCAATTCAATTTTTTTTTGAGGAATCAAGAAATGACCTGATAGGTACAAAGGTGTGCAGCTATCTTATTTTGTTCGGTCACAAGGTCATGTCGCAATAACTATCATTTAATATTTTTTGACCGACTTCAGAAAGGGTTTTTTAAAGTATGTACACCGATTACTCCGAGATTACTGATCAGATTTACGTGATTATTTTTTTGTTCGATGCGAATAGTTGCCATTAGGTCCCATATAAATTTAATCCAGTTTTTCTCAGTAGTTCTTTTTTTTTTAAACATTTTTGTGTTACTTGGACGAAGTTATTATGTACACCGATTTAAAAATTGAAAATCTATATAAATATAAAACTCAAAGGTGACTGACTGACTGACTGACATAGTGATCTATCAACGCACAGCCCAAACCACTGGACGGATCGGGCTGAAATTTGGCATGCAGGTAGATGTTATGTCGTAGGCATAAGAAAGGATTTTGATCAATTCTATCCCCAAAAGAAGCGAAGCGAGGGCGGGCCACTAGTAAAACTGTAAAATAAGAAATAATGTGTGGTTCATGATTTGGAGGTCGGGCGGGGTCAAGGTTGAAACACGTAATACCCACTCGTAGATTTTCATTGTAAATCGGTCAATTCGTGATTTAATCTTAACCCCCCGCCCGACTTCCAAATCTGAACCACATATTATTATTTCTTAATTTTTAGTTACCTATTTTATTTTTGCCTTTATCTTTATCTATTACATTTCCTACTCAACTGCAGTGCTCGCCGGACTACAATGTGTTTCTTCGTAAAGATTTAGTAAATGTTATACAGGACTATCATGTGTTCGTTTGGTACAGATCGCGTCGACAAAACGACAGTTCTGGTACGGTGTGGGTCAGCGTGGGGCGCGGGCGTGTGGCTGGGCGCCGGCCTGTTGCTGACCGCCGCGCACGTCGTGCGAAACGTGCGTACACACACCATATACAACACACATACACACACCACTTACAACTCACAAACACTCACACAACATACGCGCACACACACACATAATTCAAAAAATTCAAAATTCAATATCGTTTATTCAGTCTAGGCTGTTACAAGCACTTGTGAATGTCGAAAAGCTACGCCATCAGTTCGCAAATCTACGGCGGGAGACATTGTACTGAGAAGAACCGACAAGAAACTCAGCAAGGGTTGCCTTTTTCTCCCTGTTTTATTTCATACAGTGTCGTCCAATTGAAAGTTGACATCAAACTTGCAAACATGTGTTGAAGTCAACTTCCATCACATAATGCCAAATATGTAACACACATACACACAATATACGCACACATACCACACACACAACTCAGGCCTTTTCTATTGATGGAATAGGGAGATTCGGATACAATCTACGAGGACGAAGGAGTTCAAGTTGTTGATGAACTCCCCTCCAACGACCGGCCATTGCGAAAGTGGCTTAACTTCCATGATCGCAGATAATTTTTGTTGTCGTAAAGTAATATTGTTTCCAAGTTAAAACGTAAAAAGGGGACATAAAAAGAACTCACAAACATGAGTCATTCCATTCGGTCACGAAAATTGTTTGTACGACTACTGGCCAAATTTCGGGTAAAATTCTACAGTTGCCGAAATAAAAATAAAAATGTATTATTGAAGTTTGATGGAGGAGTTCGATGGCGCAAGTGCTTAGCGCGTTTCGCTACGATCGTTGAAGTTAAGCAACTTTCGCCGTGGCCGGTCATTGGATGGGTGACCAAAAATGTAGTATCTCGAGCTCCTCCGTTGCTCCTCTTGCGTGGGACGCACGTTAACCCATTGGTCCCGGCTGCATCTGCAGTCGTTTGCACCAATCTGCACAGGCTGGCCCTGTGGTAAGTCATGGCCCAATCTCCTTATCCATCCATAGGGAAAGCCTGTGCCCCAGCAGCAGGGACATTAATAGGCTGTAGTGATGAAAGTCCATGTTCCTCTTTCAGTACACAGGCAGTAAAGTATCCATATTCTGCGGTGGTGTGAAAGAGACAGCTATAGTCCGCTACAAGACGACTGACGACCGCGCGTTTGACCTCGCCGTACTGTACACTAACCCCGAACAGTGGCGCCATCTGAAACCAGCTGTATTCGCTGATCAACCGGCCGAGAAAGGTAATAATATTCATAACCTAAGGCCGTATACAGAAAGAAAGCTGGTACAGTGGCCAGCGCCGATAAGCGCTGAATATCGCTGTCAAGTTCCGACAATCTTCGACACGCGCTGGTCAGCGCTTAGACCTGGGTCGATAATTTTTGAGACCAAAAAAAATTATAGTAGGATGAAACCCATTAGAAAAGGTAGAGAATATAACAAAAATGAAAGGAAAAATAAATTACGGGCGATCTGAGGTCGGGAAGGGGGAGGGGGTGAGTTTTTAAGGGTAAAAAATGGTTAATCTCGATTTCCGGTAAAACTGCAAGTCCTATGAAAAAAAGTTAAATGGCAAAGTTGTAGGTAATAAAAAGATCTACAACTTTTGTATCGACACTTTTTTCACATAACCTCAAAATTTATGTGAAAAATGCGAATAACCGAGTTTTTGGTTTTTGATTTTTATTTTTTGCAAAAAAATTTATTTTTTCACGAAATTTGGTGAAAACTTACCTTTGTATGTCCCAAACATACAGTAATTTTTTTGATTTATAATATTCATTTTTTCACCTTATTTTGACTTAATATCCAAAAAGCACCCTAATTTTCAATCGAAAATTCTCACGTCAAAATATCTGCTTTTTTAAAAAAGTTGGGGTGTTTTTTGTATGTTGAAATCTCTACTTTCTGATGGTATAAAAAAAATATACACTACTATGATAAATGTTCTCAGAAAATGCAAATTAATAATGAAAAAACTCCGAGAATCCGAAAATCCTATTTTTAATATCTACTTACAACAACTATTTTTGCATGTTTTATGGATTTGTAATTTTTCTGTTTATCAATATAACATGAAATCTTACGTTTTTCGAGTAATTAAAGTGTAAATTTTAATAAATAGTTCAAAATTATACATAATGATTCAAATAAATTTTTCGGATTGGAGTTTTTTTCATTATTAATTTGCATTCTCTCTACCTTTTCTAATGGGTTTCATCCTACTATATTTTTTTTTCACTTTTCACCATTTTTAAAATTATCGACCCTGGTCTAGCTGGCACCGCCCTTTGAAATTAATGAATAACTACGCATCAATCTGCTTCCTTCATGTAACTGTTACCAGTAAGGACCTTCTGGTTGAAGGCTGAAGGCTTCCAGCTTTCTTTCTGTATACGGCCTAATATTTTACATTGCTAAGTAGCTATACTTATTCTAATTAAATCTAGGAGTAAACATATATATTAAAGCTAAATAAGATTATTCCCTGACCCAGAACTACTACCTACAACTTATTATTAATGTCATCATCATCAATCTATTAGTTTCCCTACTGCTGGAACACAGGCCTTCGCTATGTATGGAAAAGGAGATTGCACGGTGACCCATCACGCGGGCCCATTGCGGATTGGTGGGTTCCAAGGACTGCAGATGCAGCTGGGACCAACGGGTCAACGTGCCTTCCGAAGCTCGGAGAAGCTCACGAAAAATGATTTTAGTCACCCATCCCATGACCTGGCATTGAGAAAGTTGCTTAACTTCTGCGATTGCAGACCGAAAACGCTAACCATTGCGCCGTCGAGCTCCTTAATGTTTAACTTCCTAAATATCTAAGCAAGGATTAAAGATCTCCGTGGCGTAGAGATTATGTACACCTGATTTCATGGTGTCTCCTATTCAGAAGTCCTGGATATGAATCTCCGTGGAGCGAACGTTTTATGAACAAGTCATAGCTGTTTATATGTATTTATTTTAAGAAAAACATACCAATATGTATCATATTATGTATATTATATCTATCTTAGTATCCCACATAACACTGCATACTTTGAGGCTAGGCTAGTTGATGTGAGTGCTAGAAATATACACATATATTTACTAACGGCCGCTCGTGACTTTATGCGCGTTAACTTTAGATTATTGAAAACCCCTTAGGAACCTTACACTTTTCCGGAATAAAAAGTATCCTATGTCTCAATCCAGGTCATAAACTATATACCTATACTGTGTTTCATCCAGATCCGTTCAGTGGTTTAGGCGTAAAAGCGTACCAAACAAACAAACTCAGTTTCGCATTTATAATATTAGGGTTTATTTAAAAATGCAGGTGAGTCAGTATTAGCCGCTGGTTATCCGTACTTCAACGAGAAGAACCTGGAAGACCTAAGGCCCACGGTGACTTCAGGACATATCAACACCGTCTCCCCTTCCATGCTGCAGACCTCGTGCTGCATACAATCAGGGTTCAGGTATCTTAGACCGAATCTTATTATACTGATTCCCTATATTTCATCTACCTATTCTTTCTGTCATATCGTCCCTTTTCTAAAAAAATTGGTAACTCATAATCATCACCAACGAAGAAGATCTTCCACCGAGCTATGTAATATTAGGGCTGGCTGTTTATGCGGAGTCTGATACATCGTCCAACTTTGGAGCTATGTTGGTTGGGCTATGTATATTACCATTTCGTTGCCTTAAAATTTCAAAAGCGCGATGTAGGCTTTCCATACTATTCAGTACGCCGCGGGTAGCGCCTTCTCTTGACAAGAAGAGTGGTTACTCCTCCATTTGGTTATATAAAGGGCGTGTAAATGTCGCCGCCACATCTTTGTAGTACTATTTGCCCCCACGTGTACGCTTCTTCCGACAATTTGGGGTCCTTTAAAAGAGGCAGGAACAAGCATTTATGCTGCACCAGCCATAGATAAATGATTGGTCTATGGCACCAGCTATCTTCGCGACTGAACGTTACTACCATTTAGTGGAAAATAGTAATTTCCCTACTTAGCTATATAAATAAACTTGGTGACATATCGGTTCGGTTGTGCCCATTTATACAAGTTTTCGTAGATGCACTATTAATGAGAAAATATTTTTGACAATCTTGGTAATGCCAAGAAAACGTCTTCCAAATATCTCTTTATAAATTAAAAATATTTTTGCTCTGATACGTTAAATTCAATATTTACTAGCAAACCCAGCGAACTCCGTTTCGCCACCAGATAGCTTCGTTTTATGTAACATTTCGTTTTGTGATTAAAAGAAAACAATTTTTTTTTTAATTTTTCCTGAATTTTCTTTGCTATAAACCTCACGGAGCCCGAGACCTTTCCAACGAATGCAAAACCGTGGAAATCGGTTCGTGCGTTCTGGAGTTATAGCGTCAGGAAGGAAAACCCGACTTATTTTTATATAGTAGATGTAGTATGCAAAAAGGCATTTCTTTAATTTTAATTTGAAGTTTTTACCGTAGTTTTGTAAAAAGCGTGAGCCAGTTTTTTTTTCAGTGTTTATAATAAAAAAAAAAGTTTTTACCGTATGAGGAAATAATATTGTTGCTAGAAAAATTCAGAAGTTTTTTACTAAAAAGCTACATATTATTTTAACACAATTCAAATTCATTTATTCAGTTTAGGCTTTTAAAAGTATATGATCAATGATGATTGCCTATTTCTCAGTGGAGGGCCCATATTTCGACTGAGCAAGAACTCGGTACAAGTGTTGGTCATCATGGTGAGCAACACCAAGCCTCAGTCGGACGCCTGCTCTTCGTAACATCTCTTTTATGGACATGTTGCCCTGGTACTTTAAATTCTAATAGTATGAATTAATATGAGAATGTTGCTAGCAAAATTTTCTTTACACAATGAATACCTATTATCAGTCTTCATCAGCCTATTAATGTCACTACTGCTGGGGCAGACACAGGCCTTCCCTATGTATGGAATAGAGAGATTGGGCAATGACCCACCACGACCGCCCAATGCGGATTTGTGAGTAATTTTCAGTGGATATTGATCATTTATGTGGCTATTTCTCAGTGGAGGGCCCATTTTCCGACTCAACAAGAACTCAGTAGAAGTGCTGGGTATCATAGTGAGCAACACCAAAACTCATTCGGGCGCGTGCTACCCGTACATCAACATGGCCGTGCCCGCGACGGCCTTCAAGGGATTACTACACGAATTCGCTCTAGATAAAGGTATGACAAAGATGGTAACAGCCGCTTATGTATGTATGTAGCTTCCAATTCCAACGCGTACAAAGAAATTTGGTGACTCATTTCTTTGTCGCACTATCCGTAAATGGGATGCTCTGCCCGCTCACGTGTTCTCTCCCTCTTACAACCTGGGATCCTTTAAAAGAGGCGTGAAGAAGCAACATGCAGGTCGGCAGGGTGAGGATGGCTACTGTGGCAGATAAAACTGCTGTATCAGCTATCTTCGCGTCTGGACTTCACCTTCACTTAACATCAGGTGGGGTGGAGTCATTTGTCGGACCTATCTATAAAAAAAAAGAAAACCTAACCATAAGCGGCCTGGCATAGTTGGTTTAGCAGTATTTAATTTTGTAGAACAATAAAAGCCGACTCGAAGTCATTACTGCACTTGTTGTACCTCAATGGAACATGTGCCAAGTTTCAACCAAATCCGTTCAGTTGTTTTTGCGTGATTGTGTAACAAACATATGAACATAAAATCTTCCACTTTTATTATTAGAGAAGCTGCATTATTTCTGAGTGACTATTTAAGCGTTAATAGTAGGTACATTGTTCACCGAGGGATGAAACGAGGGTGTATTTTGAAATAGTTTTTTTTCTTCAAAAACAATGAGGTGTCCATGTTTGTCGTCTGCCAGGCTTCTCACGTCAACTAACTTTTTATCTGCACTTTTGATGCACCCGTGCAACTCCTTGAGTACGATGATTAAAACTATGTCATCTGTTTTATTCACAGATACAACTAAACTCAAGGCAATGGAAAACAATAAGGACATCGTACAGTCGCAGTGGCGACTAATGCCGTATAGATCTAAGATTTAAAGTCATTTTAGCTGTAGTTATAGAAAACATAGAGTTATAAGAATAGAGTGGGTAAGGCGGCTCTAAAAGTGTCCGTCTAGTAGAAAGAGAAAGAAGATGAGAGATGGCTAGCCTTTCTCTCTTTAATCGCGAATGCGCATTGGATGAAAAACCTACGGATGAATACCGACCAATCACACGACTGCGCAGCAATACCGACCAATCACACGACTGCGCAGCAATACCGACCCATCACACGACTGCGCAGCGTCACAAGAGAGAGAGATAACTAGCCGTCTCTAATCTTATTTCTTTTTCTACTAGACGGAAACTTCCACTTGTAGTAGAGTACATATCTCCCTTACTCTATTCTTATACCTCTATGATAGGAAAGCATCACAGGGCTCAATACTTGATTTATTATGGCAGTTTAGACTGACTATGTCACTGCCACGCAAAGCAATTAGATGAAGGAAATATCCGTTAGTTAAACTGATCTACAAATTATGTACTTTGCGGGCTCAGTCTGTCAATGAGAGATGATAGATACGTTTTGAAAATGGGATATTTTTTGGAAATTATATTTTTTTAATTTTTTTCGGCACGATGAGTGGTGAAGCCACTTTTACCACATATAGGTAATTTGGACATACTTTGTGTAAAGTATATCATATAATAATTTTAGGTTTTTTGGGTATTATTTAGGGATTTAATGAAAATTTGTATGCGTTGCATTGAGTATTCAAATTAAATTTAAAAAATATGAAGAGACTGAATAATAATTACTTATTTTTTTATGCAATTATTTGCCTGTATTAAAAAAAGTAAGTAAATTGAAAATTGTATTTAAAAATAGCAACGAAGTATACGGTTGTTGTAAACGATTTTTATTTAATTATTATTTATAAAAAATGTTGTTAAATTGACTTTATTGATGTTTTGCACCAATAATGTTTGTTACACCATTTTGTTTGAGTTTTGATAAGGTTCCTTATTTTATTTTTTTGTAATTTATTTATTTATTTATTAAGGATCACCAGTGTATGATACACAAAGAATAATTAACATCTGGCACAATTTCACATAACAATAAAGATATGGTTGACTGGTAGAAAATGCCTACGGCATTAAGTCCGCCATTGTACATTTGCATAAAGAATAAATAAATAAATAAGAAACAATGTACATTCTATTTAAGGTGACCACAACATGCAATACATATTTTATGAGCAGACATGATTTTTTTAATTACATTAATTAATTTTTGAGTTATTCATAAATTTTGTACACACAAGTATAAATAAACAGTGATTACAAAATAGGATACTTAATAGGATAATAGGATAAAAGGGCCTTATTTCAATCTAAAATTTCTTCCAGCAGGCCCGTGGTAAGAAAGCTCATTGAAAAGGCGGTCAATGTGTACACCTAATTATGATCAAACATATACGTTAAATACTTATGAATAGGGGACATTTACATAAAATTTATACATAGGTACTAATACTTATAATAATACATATATACATAAATATATACATACTTATATAAATATTTTGGACGACATGAGGAGAAAAGAAACAATGGAAAGAATAAGGGCACGATTAAGGGCAAGAAAATAAATAATGTTCCTTTAGACGTTTTTTGAATACCGGGACAGAACTGGAATCTCTCATTCCTGCTGACAGTGAATTCCACAGACGGACGGCATTGTACGGTGAAAATAGGATGCGAAGCCAGTGTTATGGGAGGGACATTTATTAAGGGATTTAAGATGGGATCTGTAGGAGAGTAGACAAAGGAAATTTATCTTCATTTATTAAAACATAGTTAAAATTAAAACTAAATTGAATTTTCACAATTATACTAAAGATAGGAATACATTACATTGTTTGTATTCAATTGGAACACATTACATTTAGTGAATTAAATTGGAATGAATACATTACATTATTTGAATTATTCAAATTGCAATATTTTAATAATTTCCATGTGGTGGTGGAGTAATTTTCTCTTAGCACACTATTAGTACAATTTAAATATCTATGTGCAAGGCGTTACCAAGATCAATTACAAGATTTTCAACATAATTTAATTTTTGCAGTGCGTCTTCGCTTTGATTTAAAGAAATTACATAGCGTCTTAAATCATTAACTGCTGATAATGCCTGGGCGTGTGATTAAATCGGAGTTGGCTCGTCTTCTTATTGATCATTATCACTAAGGGCCTCTTCTTGTGTGTTATTCACATTCTCATTGAATTTTATACTGTGCTACATTGTCATCAATGGAAGAATGTCCAGGAAAACCCTGGGGGCCGCTTAGCATGCGTCGCTCGACAGTCGTTACGTCAATCGCTAGCCGCTGCCGCAAAAGGTAATCTGTGTGGTACGTTGGCGATTTAGTCGTATTAAACGGGATGACGAATCGTATTAAGCGTTAAGAAATGTATGAAAACATGTCTCAAGTTGCAGGGACTGACGCAAAATGGCGTATTATGCGAGAAATCGTATTAAGCGTGATCGTATTAAACGGGTTCTACTGTATATAAAAATCAATTGCTGTTCGTTAGTCTCACTAAAACTCGAGAATGGCTGAACGGATTTACATATCTTATCCTAGTCTCGACATGTTCCTGGAGGTCTAGGGTAGGTTTAAAAGGTAAGAAAAATTCGAATAATTGTCGGGAAACCCCTAAAAACAGCCCTTTTCGTTTTCTAAATAAAATGTAAAGTCAATTTGAACTTTATTGCCTTTGAACAAAAACTATAGTCTACACTACAGCTTTACACCGAAGCGATGCAAGGGCGGGCCACTACTATGATTATATAAATGTTAAATCGTTTTACATTTATCTACAATAGTCCCTCCGACTATTTGTCATAGATAAATGTAAACCCCCCCTTTCAATCGGATTTATATGAACTTACCCTCTCCTAGCTTATCAAGTCAAGTGATAGTTGGATATAGTGTTGGGTTATCCATTTAACATCAGATAGGGTGGTGTAGTTTGTTGCAAGTTTTATTTAAAAATATATTACCACGAAGTCTTGGCAGAGACGTATTTATTATTTATATATTATTTGGACTACATTTCGTTTTAATTTCAAAACAATTTAAGAGCATAGAGTCATATAGCAGAAGAAGAAAATCGTCTGTAGTCAGTAAAGTGATTTAAGAAAAACTGTCGTATGACATATTTATTTGACTTGTCTGCTTACTGACAGAAAATATCGTGGAGCCTGGAGAGTTAGTGGAAAGAGTTAAAGGGAGACACAGTAAAAAAACCTAAGCAAACAGTACTTTTAAAAACGAGGTGATACTTCGTGATCATGGCCCGCAAAGGTCAAGTTTCTATACAGGAGAACATAGAAACAAACGAGGAATTCATTCATTACCTGAAGACCCATTCCAACAAACTGATATGTAAGACTTTCAGTTACTAAAACTTATGTTTGAAACTAATCTGAAACGAATATAATATTTAATTAAGAACCGATTTTTCAAAACTCGGATAAAACTGAATTGTTCAATTAATACTCAATCAAATAGAGAGAGATGTCATCCGTCACATTACACCAATTAACACAAGTCATCTCTTTTTGTCCGTGTAATACGATATCAGACAGATAATTTTATCCAGTGTTCTAGAAATCAGCCCTAAGTTTATTAGAAAGGTCTTCCTTATAGTCCAGTCAATGAAGGCTTAACTTTGCCATTTTGAGTTGATCACCTGCAACCAACGCGAAAATTTCCGCAAGGGTTCGTAGATTAATATACTAAAATTGCAGGGTGCTGCATTAACGGCAAAGGGTGAAAAAAAAAAATGCGAAATGGTGCAAAAACGAGTTTTTCGTCAATATCTCGCGACTGGCTGGAAAAATAGAAAAAGTTTGTAGCACAAAGTTGTAGAAAATTTAATTTCCTACAAAAAAGGTATCAACTTATTTTCGCGTATCTCCCATAGTTTTTACACAAAATGCAATTAAAGGTGCAAAATAAAAAAATAAAAAATATTGTTTATGGTTTTTTTTTTCATTTTTAAACGATCCTACGGGGCAAATTCAACAATCACCAATTACTGAAATATTTAAGGATGAGCAGTCCACTGAAATGAAAATTGTCTACCGAAATGGTAAAAAATTACCGTCGAAATGATACAGCCAAGAACATCGCCTTTGTAGTAGAAGGGTTCCCTATTTTGAATTTAAATAAATGTCTTTATTCTTTGTAAATATTTTTGTTCATTATTTTTTAATAAGAATTATTAATGAAGAATTAATTAATTGTTACTCCTATTAAATATTATTACTAATTATAATTATTAATATGTACATTTTCAAAATAACGAACAAAGCGCGTTTAGAAAGCGAGAAGTTTATTATTAGGAAATCGTCCCCTTAGTGCCAAAACCGATTATCTGCACTTTTCCGCTACTGAACTTTTATAATTCAAAACACTTAAATTTGTAAACGTATTAATTGTTGAAACCAAGTTTCTGATTTAAACTCATTTTTCATGTAGACACTTAAAATATCCTGTGAGTAACCTGTAATTGGCTTTGACTTGACTGTTTGAATTTTACCAGATATTTTAATTTTACTAGATGAAGTAAAAAGTAACAAATCTGTCGCTTTTTGCAAAAAAAAATATATATAATATGTTTGCGTTATATTTGAGGCAAGTAAAAGAGGATAGATCGAATCGATCGACAGGTGACCTTCTAGCGTACGTGACATATATCTGGGGTGAGGCTATCGATAAGCGAGGTGAGTCTTAGGCTATCAGCCTTAACATCGCCAAGGCTTTGATAGGGTCTGGCACATAAGTCTTCTCTCCAAGCTTCCTGGATACGGTCTGCCTACTCAGTTCTGTGCCTGAGTGGCTGACTTCCTGCATGAGCGTCAACGGACGGCGACGGATGTAGTTCGCAGTTCATGTCAGTGAATGCCGGTGTTTCTCAGGACTCCGTCCTATCCCCTACACTCTTTTTGCTGCATTCAATGATTTAATTCCTCTTGAGAATATTCATTGCTATGCAGATGATAATACAGTGCATGCGGGATATTTTGGATACGCAGCCGTTGGACAGGTAGAAATCAAAGAGAAACGGGAGAATCTTGTCATTGAACTCAATAAAGATTTGGACCGCAATTCGGAATGCGGTACCAAGAACTTGGTTGAGTTCATTGACAAGAAAGCCCAGGTCTGCGCTTTCACGGTAAAACTAACCTTTTTTTCACGCCTGAGCAACTGTGCTTGTTGTACATGACGTAAGTACGGTCTTGCGTGGAATATTGTTCGCACCCCAGAGGATGGCTCCGCCAAGTACTTTTTTGATGCTTTGGATAGGTTACAGCGGCGCGCGATCCGCATTATTGTCGATAAGGAGGTGACTAAACACCTCGAGCCTCGTCAATTACGCCGTGATGTAGCGTTATTAAGCGCGTTTTATCGACTATACCTTGGCGCATGTTTTGAAGAGTTATTGTCTCTTAACCTACCTTCCCCTTTCCTACAGAAGTCTACACGCGCTGGCTTACGTTGCCATCGACTTACTGTGAACTACTATTCCCACTGTTCCAACGTGAACGAAGAAATTTGGTAACTCATTTATTTGTCAGACTATCCGCAAATGGATTACTTTGCCCGTGTGTGAAGTAGCAATTCTGCAGGCCGGCAAAATGAGGATAGCTGGTGTGGCAAGTAATACTGCTGTACCAGCTATCTTCGCGTCTAGACTCCTCCGTCACCTAACCTCTGGTGGAGTCATTTCTTGAGCCTATTTATAAAAAAAAATCTATAGCAAAGATTTTTTTCTTATTTTTGCTACAAAGGTGTCATATCTGAGGAGTACCATGGATTATGCAGAACTTTGGCTACAGAAATAAGCCAATCTGATCGTTTGCCTTCAGAAACCATTTTTGATGACTCATCATTTGCAAGCGAGTCAAGTCAAGTTTTTTATATAGAAATACTATCAGCCGCCAATGACTTCATCCGCTTTAACTTTAATATACATTTTTAAACTAGAAATTTTAGATTGAAATACTACTGCATCCGAAATATCGAACCTACAGTTTCTCGGTAAACGTACATCACAAACCGAAATTATTTAATATACCTATATTGACTCAAGGATCTCTAAAAACTTATGGATGTATCATATCGGCGATACTTTCATTCCCTGGACTCTTATCGGCATTACAGTCCACCGAATGAAATGAAATGAAATGAAAAATCTTTATTGGCCATGGTATAAGGAACAGGAAAAAAAATATATAAAAAAGAAACTTAACCTAAGAACAAAAATTAATCATTACATTTAAAATGGCCAATCAGGACCCTGCCTCAGCTTATGCTGATACAATGAGAAAATATTCTCTCACTGTATCAGCGCTGGTATTCTGGCAGGGCCTGTTTGAGGACGTGTTAGGCGCTATAGTAAACAAAATAACATAAATACTTGGTATCGATTCTGGCGTGACTCTCCGAACCCAAAACCAAATTCAACACCAGTCCCTCCCCTTCATTCTGTATAGAAAATGACAGGAATGCACCGCTGTCAAACCCAAGACTAGCCCTAGAGAATCACGCCATAATCGATATCATTATAAAAGAATACTTAATAATAAAAATAAAATAAGAACAAAAAAAAAGAAGGATATTTGGACATTTACATTTTGAAAAATTATAAAATTACATCTTAGGCACACGTCAGACAATTGCACATTAACTGTATATACATACTCGTACATGCACGCACATCCACAGATACGCATATATATTCATACACAGCACGTACACATACATACACACACAGGGATATATATATAGAACATAATATTCATAAATAAAATAAAAATACATTTACATATATAAAACTAGCTCAATTGTCCCCATATCACTGAAATGGTATGCTTACTATTTGGCGGGAATCCACAATGACGTTGTTGCGCGTGAGTGTGATCCACCTAAGGCGGCCTGGCTCGAAGGGAGCACTGACAAGCGAGATACAAAAAAACAATGTGAACGAACCTATTTCACAAAAACTTACTGTCCATGGAAATGATAACTTTTTCCAGGACAAAAGTTGTGTGCTTGTTACATGTATAAGAAAGAAGGTAAACAAACAATAGTGGTTTTTGTTGATAGGCTATATTATATATTACTAGCTGACCCAGCGAACTTCGTACCGCCATAAAAAAATAGGGGTTGGTGGTAGAAGGGTGAAAATTTAGGGTTGTATGTATTTTTGAATGATGTATCATAAAAAAATTAAAAAAATATATCTAAATATGAAAAAAAAATTAGGGGTGGATTACCCTCAATATTTAGGGGGATGAAAAATAGATGTTGTCCGATTCTCAGACCTACCCAATATGCACACAAAATTTCATGAGAATCGGAAAAGCCGTTTCGGACGAGTTTAACCACAAACACCGCGACACGAGAATTTATATATATTAGATTGATATAAAAGTTAATTTCAATCCAAAAAATAAAAGTAACTACAGGGGTAGTAATTTTACGAGAGGAATTGGGTTTAGAACAGTTCACCGTGATGATAAAATGCCACTTCGTATTTTTTTATTTTATGGATTTGGAGCCCATTACTCAATAATTATTTTTGCCAAGGTTGAGAAGTACCTACTTAACCAAGAAAAAATACAAAATCATAAATCAACACATTGTACTGCCGCTCTGAGGAATACCGTGTATTTTTTTTTTTGCTCGGGGAGTTTACCCCTACATGCTTCATTAGGATTTAATTAATATGTTTCGGGTATTTATTTATTTATTATTTCCTTTTTCCATATAATAATCTTGACAAAAAAAATATTTAAATTTTATTATATGATAATGATAATACATATTGCAAATATATGTTTTAAACGTAAATTTTGAACACGATGAAAGAAAAAGAAATGGTAAAATTAAATTATCATATAATAAAATTAAATATTTTTTTAGCTATATTTTTCGTCATCTTTCTTAGTAGCCATCATTTTAAACTAAATACGCAGAATAGTTCACCCAGTAATGTTTATTAGTGATTAATTAAACAAAAGAATAACAGTGTTGCCCAGCGCGCGATTCAACAATGAATGAATAAAAGTGAGCAACTCACTCGCTAGCGCACGATCTGTGTACGGAAGAGACGGTTAAACATGGATAACTGGTTTTAGCTGAAGCATAAATTTTAAAGTAACGATGACTAACGCTAATAAATTACAGTGGAAGAAAAGAGTAAGCACTGATAATCGATTTTAGCTGAAGTAATTTATAAAGCGTCAAATAAAAGTTATTCAGTAAAAACAAATTAAAATTCGGTATATTCTTTTACTTGCCTCAAATATAACGCAAAAATTCTATATATTTTTTTTTCAAAAAGCGACAAGTTTTTTAGTTTTTACTTCATCTAG